ACAGAACAACCAAAATTGCACAAATGGGTCACATAAAGTAATCCTTATGTAGCAATATACACCGTTCTAGGTTCCCATGGTTTTGTGAGACTCAAAATCTCAGATCAAGGAAACCTTCGAATGGATCAAGTCCAAGGTGTTCTAATAGGATAATCAATACAACACGAAGATATATAAACAAAAATTCAAAATTTCCACGCAATGCAGTCTCACACAGTGACTAAACAACGGTTATAGCACAAACGTAATTACCAACTTGCAATCAAATTCAACACTTCAAATAGAGCAAAAAATTCCTAAAATTCTATCACAAGCAATTGTTATCCCTTCACGGTAACTCTAATCCTAATGTTACCCCACACGATAATGCACTAATTCTAGAATTTAAGCGAGATTAGCCAATTTACCGGAGCGGACTTATCTGAATCCGTAAATTACGAGAGATAATTTTAACATTTTATGGCCACCACTATTCGCCCTAAAGTTTGTAGCAACCAATAGAATGCAAAACTGAATTCCGAACGAGCAGGGGAAAAATCGTCCAACTTTTCATGCAAATCCAGAAACACTAAAATAACGCTATCAGTACGTTCAGGAATGAAAAATAAATGAAATGCCCAAAAAAAAAAAAAATTGGCCAGAAGCCGTCGCGGGGAAGCCACGAGCCTCCGCCGGAGTACGCATGCACCACCACCGGGTGCGCCTCTGTCTACTGAGAGTGGGTGTGGTCTCAGATTTTCCAGCAAGTCAATGGTTTGGCCGAAATTGAGAGAAGTAGGGTCGGACTTCGTTTGGAAAAATCGCGTCTGCGCAATAATTGGTCGTCCGTCTTCCTCGTGTTCGATTTCAGCCGGACTTTTGCACCACCCAATAGCGCCTCAGTCTGCAGAGCTCGTATATTGGCTTAATTTTTCCTAGTAGTGAATGGGTTGGCCGGAATTGAAGCAAGTAGGTTCGGCCCTTTTTGAAAATCGTGAGGCAGGTTTTTCTTCTTCAATTTCTGGGTTGGTTTTGGTCGATTGCTTGCCGGAATCTACACCAAACCTTGCTTTGATACCATTTGTAGGGAAAATAATGAGCAAATCGATCGGTCTCAAGCCCACATCACCAAGCCCAAGTGAGGTTCTAACACAAATCAATTGGCAATGGGTGGAGTAGCCCACTTGGGTTGTATGGTAGATTTCTTTTCTTCTTCCAACCGATGATGACTTCTTGTTTGCTCCCAACATAACTAATGGTGTGTTACTACGCGCAGGAAGGAGATCACGTGGAAGAACTCTGTTGGCCACGTGTTTATGTCATTTTTCGGGATCAACACAAACAAAGTCTTACTCTCAATAAACTTAGAATAAGTTATATGAATTCCCTTTTTCTCTTTATTTGACTTGGTGCTAGATCGATTGGAATAACTACATGGGCGGTCCCACATGGGGCCATGTGGGGCTTTTAAACTTATGAAGTTTTGAAATATGAATTACTTTATCAAAGCAAAACCAAGTATTTGAACATGTTTCACAAAATGATGATACTTTATGGAAAATTGAACTTTATTTAAGAACTGTACATCTTTTATGTGAAATATGCACACGTGAGGTAACTCATTATTTCGATGAATCATTTTTTTTAACTAAACTTTATAAATAATTTGAACATTTGAGAATGAAATTTTTTCATGTATAAATAACTCGATTTGTCACAAATAAAAAGACATGATGTACCATGTCCTTTATTAAATGACCCGACGGCTACCATATCTTAGGGGCCGTTCTCTTTGGCGTTTTCGGATCGTTTTCTATTTTCAGTTTTCCAAAACAGTGAAA